CAATCCCAAAAGGCAACATGCATGACTTTGCCAACCGAAGGAGACAGCTTAAACTTTTTAGGAGGTGGGGAACCAGCTCGTTTCCACTGCTTTGACTGAGCTTTTGTCTCAGGTTCGAAATAATGAACCCACATCTCATCTCCAGTGATAATGCGGTTCAAAAACTTATCTCCTTCACGATTAAAACGACTTAAATGTTCTTTTGCATTGGTTACTCTGGTTGCCTTTTGATCTGCGGACAGCTGTCTAGGCACCCACCTGGCACTTACCTTGCTCATGCCTAGGTGTTCGTGTAAAATCTTGTGTGCCGATGACTTACCGATGCTAAACTTGTTGGCTACCTCCTCCAAAGTTACTCGACGATTTTGTTGACAAAAGCTTTAACATTTGCTACCATTGTTGGGGTCACTGCCTCAGCTGGTCGCCCAGTCATAGGCCTGTCACAAACACTTGTTCTGCCTTCACGAAACTGAGAAACCCAGTTGTAGAAGGTTGAACGTGATACACATTTATCAGAAAATCTTTTTTTGTTAGACTCTGAAAGATGTGGCAGGGCTTTTCACCTCCTGCAACCAGAAACTTTATCACAGAGCGTTGTTCCTCTAACAAAGAGTCCATAGACGAAACACCTATCATACATCAGAGGGCAAAATACTGTGTATACACAACTATCATTGAAAATAAACTGACCACGTTATTGGCGAATGAATGTAGTTTTCACCAATATATAATGAGTGTATATAGCTGCACGTGGAAAGAGAGGAGCATGAAAAGTCCGGATATTTTCTGACCCTCCCTCGTAGATATAAAATAAGAAACAACGTATATATTATTTAGTATACAACCTTTTTTAAAACTCGACTGAAATAAGCAGATGTAGTAGGTAGGTTTTCTTAATTAATGTATACTCTACTTTGGCACTAAAATATATTATCCCCTGAAGAGAAAACTAAAAAACTAGTCATTATAGATGCATAAATCATTTGTGTTTTCTTGTAAACGTCTGCATTATTTTGGCGTCATGTGCAATTAGGTTTTGCTTCAATTTTATTCTTAGACTAGCTTATTTCTCGTGGGAAACATTTTGTATATTAACAGAGTTAAAGAACAGCTATCTTACTAGCAAAAACTTCGTTATGTATTACATAGTCGGAAAAAAATCAAGAAAAGGGAAGCACATTTTAACCGAGCTACTATTGTGCAACAACACAATAATTTATGTATAAGGAAACACGTCAGTGCATATTATGCAATCCTATTTGCAGTCCTACCTTCTAAAAGGACAATTATTTTACAATTATTCAGCTAATTAGAATTAAATCATACTCATTTTTTATTAACTCAAATATTTAGCTTATCATAATTACCTATGTTTAAGAGGGTAAGAGTGTGGCATTACGTTAGAAGGATATCGTTGCATATGTAAAGATGCTTCTCAGTGTCCTTCAGTAACAGATAATATTTCTCGACCAGCATGTGTAAGGATGCGAAAAAAAAAGAAAAAAAAAACAATCAATATAACTATTACTAAATGAACAGTTTGGGCATTTCTCACGCACACAAATGTTGCATGGGAGCATTTATGGCTTGTCGAAAATATTTTTCAGTTTCCATTGAATGCGGACTATATCTAGCTAAAACGTTTTAATAAATTTTCAATTTCATAAAGCGAGAGTAGAGATATGAAAGAAATCATTGGCATTTATTTGTATCAACCTTATGTCGCCTTCTTCTTTAACAAATGGACAAAGTTGTCAAAGAAGCTAACTTAAATGGCACGTTTCTTGTACGTTGAAAATTACTTATGTACTTGTAAATCGTTATCCCTAATTCGTTTTATAAGATGTTCATTAGTTTTGCATTTTATTTCATTAAGTTTTAAACAGTGTGATGTGACTATAATTTTACTTTAATTCATCGAAAAACGTAAGAATATAGCCAGAGCTATCGTATTAAGCTAAACCTTTACATATATATAAGGCATGTGGTTTAATTAATATATAAAAACGTATTATGAAAACGTCAAGGAGAATAACTCGTGGTCGGAACTTAGCTGAGACTGACGTTATTTTTAATTCCAAAGTATTTGGCAAAGTTGAATAATCATATTATTGTTATATCATTAATGTACAAGAAGAAGACAACGTTACTAATATGTCAATCTACCCTTTTTCTTCTTGATTTTACTTACACATAAACATTAACTCTTGAGAAAAGGACTGGACATTGAACAATTCGTTAGCATTGTTTTTATCATTTCAATCATTTTCTATGTTATATGTTTATATGTTAAATTCCATTTTTTAAATTATTCCTACTGAAAATTCAAATAACACATCCGGCTTCTTTTTCTGAACGCAGCTATTTAAAAAAAAGCAGATTGCAGGTACGAACTTTAATTATCTATTTTTTTCTTTTGAGCTTATCTAGTAATTGGTCTAATTTTAATGTAAATGAAAACTACATTGATAGACACAATATTCAGTAAACACTTCAGGCATAAGTTATATGGAGACTATAATATACTAATAACATTATACCATATGTTCATTTCTAGTTATTGATGATGATTTTTCACAAATCTTTACAGTTGAAATGAAACAATTTTATAGATTGCAACGCGAGAGCTAGGATAACATACTATAACTTTAAAATGATTTTTGATAAACGAATTAGTTTGGTCATTATATGAGAGATCATGTAGATTAATAATAATGATAGCATTTAACGACATGCTCACACGTTTATTTGAAACTTATATATTTTAATGTTAAAACATGCCATAAAATGTAACTAATTTTTTGTGCATTGATCTTTTTACAAATTACAAATGTTACATTGGAAGCGAGTAAAAGGGAGTTGTATTGAAACTTTTTGCAGAACTAGCAACAATAAGGTTATCAATGAAAATGCCATGAAATGTATCTTAATACGATAATTTTGGATATTATGCATATTTAATTATTTCCCTGTTTACAGAATCTCAATAAGAAGCGATAGAAAATAAATTTCACTTTTGGCCAAAAGACATCTTAAATCATTTTTACTTCATGTAAAATTTACAAGGAAGAACTGAATATAAGAATAGTTTGCATTAGTCATTTAAAATTACAAACTGAAATCTAAAGAATCTCTTTGGCCATTCTACAACAAAATGTAAAGGAAAGTTCATGCCATTCTAAGATAAAAAAATAGATAGTTTTGAAATATAATGTTTAGGATGGTTTTTGCCAATATAAAATAAATGTAAAAGATAGTTATTAATTAAAATGTTAAGGAAAGTTCTTTAACCTGATGTATTTAAGTTCTGTCTAAACATTCTTCCTCCAACAAAACAGTTTGCACTGCATTTCGATCTTATTATATTTTCTAGTGAAAAGTTGATTGGCGTCCACGCCGAAGCGCGACGACCTATATGGAATGAAATCAGATTTCGTGAAAGGGCAATTGCAACTTCTCGGGCCTTTTCGTCGGTCATAGTAGCCGATCATTCCGATTGGTATGAGTGTTTGGTTATCAAAAACTAGAGAATTTCGCAATGCAAAATATTTTTTTAAGTAAGCCATTTTTACAAATTGTTATATTATAGTATTATCATTTTGAAATTGTCTTTTCCATAGTTTTTTTCTGGTTTTCTTTTTTACGGCCCTGCTTGCACTTATGACATTTTTATTGTGAATATTTAAATAGACCTAGTTCATAACTTTATATGTCGCTTTTATTTTGATGTTGTGCGACAGTTAACAGGTCTTGCAGTTGTATATTTTAAAACCTATTCGCTGTTCAAGTCTCTTAAGCTAAAATTGACCCCGAATTCATGAATTTTTGCTGTTCTAAATTTTGTTTGAAGGCAATCGATTTTATGGTAGTTTGAACGGAATGTTGATTTGCCGAATATTGTTACTTTTTAGCAACAGAAACTTTCGTCTGCAATTTTAACATGAGTTGTTATGGGTTTATTGATAGGAATGTAAACACACTGGTGGGTCTGAGCTTTTTTAAGTAATTCATTAAAATATTAGATTGATCTCCCAATAATTCAATTAACAGACTTTTCGAATTTTTCATTTTGACTACTATTTTGTATGTTCCAAAGAAAATACCACATGAACTTGAAATTCTATCAAATCACTAATATTTATGATATTATCCAAAATATACCCCTTTATGGTTTAAGTTTATTTATACTATATATATAGACCCGTATATTTTGGATATTATCGTTAATATTGATACAATTTCAAGTTCCTGTAGAAAAAAAAAACATTTAAATATTCTAATCTCTAGCATGCCTACCAAAGTTCATGATGAACCATGTCTTTTGTCCGCCCATTCACAATCCTGGTATAAAGCAATTAACCATTTAAAAGTTTATAAGAATATCTGGTCATCAGATGTCTACTAGTTCATCTTCACTTGCTACATTTATTGCATGGACGCCCTTTGATTCTTTGTATCAATGCTTTTCTTGTTGTTTTACATTGGGACAAACTCAGTTTATTTTATACAAGAACTTTCTGAGTTACATATTTTGACAAAAATAACGAAATCGCCAATAACGTTCACGAATGAATTATTTCAATTTTCTATTGTGCTTGCGACATTCACGACTCTGTAAAAACAATTCTAGAGTGCGAAATAATATTGGTCTCAGCGGAATTCTTCAGATTTTTTAAATTTTTGAAGTGTACAGCGTCAATTTCATTTCAACTTCTATCACGGATTTACTTATTTTTGCTATGAAAGATAAATCACACAACAATAATGGTACAAGGACCTTAAGATTCATTTCTAAGCTCAGACGCATAAATCACCTTAAACTGTAAGGTAAACCCAACAATAAGTACCAGGAATCTTATATTTCCTAACAATTTTTCTACTAAACAAAAAAACAACCCCCCCCCAAAAAAAAAAAACAACAATCAAAACAAACAAAAAACAACACTATTTAACGTTTGCGAGAAAAGCTTATATATGTTATTATGATATATATTATACAAAAACATGTACTGGTGAAAACAAAAACACTATTCTAACACAGTTGATCACACATCTAATTTTGAAAATACATGAAATGTTATCATATTTCGTGAAAATATATCCCATAGCCATTTAAACGAATAAATATCCTCATAACATACGCAGAACATTTACATGGTAAATGTCTTGGATTTTATGTATTTTGTTGCGACTCTTTTTTAACTAACCTTTATTAATAATGATAGTATTTACTTTACCGATAAATGCACTTTTCAAAATTATGCTTATTTTTTACAAATTATTTCATTCATATATGTGTTAAACATAACTACTGATGTACAAAGTTAATGACAATAAACATTGTTACAGAAACTGATTTCAGACAATTTCATTTTCATTGCCATTATTTTGTATTAACGAATATAAATTACGTTACTATATTGAGAAAAATGCGTATAATATATTATATATATTTTTATGTGATGGTACGAATCTACATTATAATATGACGTATAATTTAAATTTGTTGAAGATAAATTTATCAGCCTTGTACGAGTTTTGAAAATGCGAAACTATATTTAGATTTACTCATTAACAGTATTCACGGGAAATATCGAGGACCATTCTGGCTGACCCATCTTGCTCGAAAACCAAAATTACAAGATATCTCTTTAAGCGATTAGTTCTAAGCATAGAATGTTATCATTTATATCAATTTCAAGCTTATTTGAAAATTCAGATACGTATGTATTTAAACAGTTTGCTATGTGAATATTAGTTATAAATGATTTATTTAATTTTACCCTTGAAATATGGAGCTATATCAGTCAAATATATTTCATATTTGTAAAAAATAAATATGAAATATAAATATCTTGGTTTGAATATCGATTGTTACATATCAGGAGATAAAATTGTCAAGAGCACTCTTTCAATGGAATGGAATGGAAGATTACATTTTCTATACCGTTAAAAAAATTGTTTAACGGAAGAAATAAAGAAACAGTTATGTCCTGACCTTTTGCTGTGCCACTTTGATTATTCTTCATCTTCTTGGTACGAAGGACTGAGTAAGTCACTGAAGCACAAACTTCAAGTAGCTTAAAATAAGGTTATGCGCTTTATAAAAGACTATACCCCTAGGACTTCGGTGACAAATAAGGTTCTGTCTGATCTTAAAGTATTAAATGTTAATGATAGAGTTAGACAGTTAAGACTCAACCACATTTATAAAGTTTATTACAACAAAGCCCTTGTTATTTAAAGGAATTGTTTAAGGTATGTAGAATATCCAATTTAAGATCTAGTAATTCTAATTTTGTTTTGTCTCAAAATGATTCTCATGTTATATATACATTTTTCCACAATGCCAAAAAGACTGGAATTCTTTACCAGACATCATTAGGTCAATCGACAATATCCAAACATTTAAAACGAAAGTAAAACATTTTTTAAGTAATGAAAATGATAAACAAGTGAATAATATGTTTATTTATTATTAACTTGATGTGTAACTTATGATAAGGTTTTGTAACATGTTTATGTTGTACTTGATAATATTTTATTTTAAACGAAATTTATTTCATTTTGTATGTGTACAATGTACTATTATATTGAAAAATGTATCTTCATTGTTGAACATTTTTTCAAAAATTGTCATTTATTTTAACTTCTTTATAATTCATTTATTATTATGTAAGTTAATGTGATAATTTTACAGTAAATGGACCCCATTGCAAATAAGCGTTTAGCTTAATGGGCAATCCTAGGGTAACATAGAACATACTCATTAATTAATCTGATAATTATTTTTGTTGCATTTATGTGTGTGTTTTTATATGAATGCAAGTTGATGTATGTGATAACATTGTATGTGTTTATGTCTATTTCCTGAATAAATGGATACGAAATATGAAAGTGGGCGGAGTCAAAACTCATATTTATTTTAAGGGACTTCTTTCTCCAATTTGTTTAAAAAGCTGATAAAAAGCAATTTTTTGTTGAATTTTGTGTTGAAAACTATCTAATTTGATAGAAAATGGTCTAAGAAAACAAATCCGAACACCAATATCTTTAATTTAGTCATTAACGCTGTACAGACGTTTAAAGAGTTGTTTACGTGACGTCACAAATGGAATATATTTTCACGAAACATGATAAAATGCCACATATTTTCACTCGCCGTCCAGGCTCGTGAAAATATGTGGCAATTTATCATGTTTCGTGAAAATATATTCCATATTTCACTCAAATGAAAAAATATCCTCTTATTATTTGTTGATAAGAATTCCACTGAAGGAGTTCATAAACCAACCACCTTTATATAAAGCATAACCAGATGAGCCAGACAAACATTTAACCCATATCTTTTCCGACGATTTCACTCTTATAACTGCATAAAAGGAGCTGCAAGTATAGTAGTTTGCATCGTAATTTGACGACCGAGCAATCACGTTTCCTGATAGCACCAAAGCAAGAGGTGAATGTTGCTTGTAGTATGCACAATAATTAACAACAAATTGGTACAATCCCCCGACAGGTGCTGTGAAGATTCCAGTGGAAGTGTCATATCCTGATCCTTCATTGGTCGTTGCTGTGGTAAATATGATGATCTTGTCTGTTCTGTCAAGCTTTAGGTCTACCACATTGTGTGCAAAGAATGCAACTGAAGGCTTTTTAAGGTTTTCTGTAAATAACGAAAGTCGGAGAAAATATTTAAGAAAAATTTTGAACGGGTGTTGTTTGTTCTTGCATCTGCAATGACTTACATTAAGATGGATAAAATATGAATTAGGGAAACATGAGAATAAATTTCAAATAATAATACCAACACAAAAGAATGTCTTTGTTTGAACTCAACTAAAAAACGAAAATAATATTAACCAAAAGGCAACAGAACAAATAAACACAGTTTAATTCTAATTTATAATTTTATATTATTTATACATTTAAATTATCTTTAATGATTTGTTTGAATATATTATGACAAACAAACTTTAACATTTAAATAGGACAATACTTGATTTATGTACTGATGTACTTTTATCTTACCTGAAAGTTCTGTTAACATCTTCTTCCCTTTCTCCATATCAGTAGTAAAATTATTCCGTAGATCTTCAAATGTTTTTCTCAGTATTTCTGTCAAGAATAAAAAAAATTGTTGCATGCTCAAGATTTTGAATTAGGATACTTTACACTATAGACCAGATTTGCCGGACTTTTCGGACCAGATTTATTGACACTTCGAACTAGGTCAACTACTTCTCATCGTTGTTATGGGCAATTCGTATCTGATTTTAGAATATTGCAAATCGCACAATTATAATAGTCCGATAATCCAGTTAAGTTAACAACATTGAACAAATATTAGGATACTACAGACGATGCATAGACTGAATACTTCTGATATTAAGGCTTTCTTCAAATGCATAAACCGTTCATATATACCAGCACACACATATAGTCTTTCCTTCGAAATTTGAAAGTTTCATTTTTCGTTAAATATTATAGTAAAATAATTGATATTAATGTCCTGTTTACTCTGGCGTCCGTATATCTAGGCATATTTTTCTTTTTTTTTCAAAAAGTTAGTTATATACATGTAGTTAAAATGTTAAAATTACAATTGATTGACGATGTAACCTGACGTGACGTCAAATTCAAACTTGTGGCGCCCATTCTGATGTCATTTAGTGTTCGTTTCACAATAAGCGTGAAATGTTCTCGGTAATTATATCAAAAAGTTTTTATTTTTATTTACATTCTGATCAATATTAAATTTCATCATTCAGATGAAGAATGAGAGCAAAGTTGATGTCAAATAAGCAATTTCACTAGTCCACCATGGTGTTTAAAATAATCTCCACTTAAAACCATTTAAGGTAGAACGCGGCACTTTGCGAACTTTCGAAAGGCGTCTTGAGAATTCGAATGTGAAAAGTTGATCATATTTCAGATTAGATTCCGCTGATTTTATTGCGATAGTTTTAGGCAATTTTGTTAAACACATGACGTAAAAGTTGATCATCAAAGCCCGGTTTTTGAACTTGACGTCGATGTGTATCATTGGCAACGTTTATGTGTATCACATCGCCATAGGCGGACATAATATCATAAATTCTACAATATTCGATTCTATTTATGCTGATATAAAATTTAACGTTTTACGCCAAAAATGTTTTTAAAATGGAAAGAATATTGTCAATTTTGTGTAAAATTTGACGTTCAGTTTAGCCACATTTTTCGGCTTTAAAGCCGATTATTAAAAAGAATCCTGAAATAATTTTAAGAGTTTTTTACGCAACGACGTGGTTCCAAAACAGGCTTTGATGGTCAACTTTGACGTCATGTGTACAAAAAAATGGCTGGAACTATTGGAATATAATCAACAGATTCTAATCTGTAATATGGTCAATTTTTCACATGCCAGTTTTCAAGTTTGCAAAGTGTCGCATTCTACTTTCAAGTTAAATTCAACTTTATAAATTCTAACAAACAGGAGAGTTTTATAATTATGTTGATATTATGTCGTATTTTATATTCATTTTATTAAGAGAAAAAGGGCAAGGAAGTGATTTGATTAGATAGCTTATCTATCAATTGCAAGCGCGTATCTTGAATACGGCAACGCGTCGTAGAGGAAGACCCAACAATATGTTTCGTAGTAAACTTTATAATCTCTCATTATCATAATTATTTCATTCATGTATAAATAGAAAATGAAAAGGAAAGAAGAAAAAATGTTCAGCGATCGACAGACATGTACATACAATAACCTGTTATTCGGTAATGTTTAATGGTTTTAATTCTGTTTTTGTCTAAATCGTGTTTATATATAAAGTCTATCAAAAATGATTAAAATACTCAGTTCCAAAATGTTTGTGAATTTCAACTTTACTACAAAACCTGACTTTAGAAATCGCACACAAAATTCTATATTATCATACAACTCTGGCAAGAAAGATATAAAAATGGGATCTGCTTCACAATATATTCGGCATTGCTTTGCCTGTATCCACGGTGTCTATTTCAACTAGCTTCTTGCTAAAGAGAGAACATGGACTCACTCGTGCGCAATAATTTAAACGAGAAAACTAATTATTACTGACAGTTGTCAAAAACATTTTACAAATGAACATTTTCAAAGAGTAAATATGAAGAAATATTGTAATAGAAATGTTGACTGACATCAAAAGAACTTCAAATACAACGCGTAAATTCATCATTAATTTAATTATATCAATAATTTAAACGAGAAAACTAATTATTACTGACAGTTG